GGAGGAGAAAGAAGGCCACCGGATCTGCACCAAACAGAGCAAAAAACAACAAACAAACATAGCAAACCAACATATAAACAAACAAACCAAAAAAACCCACACAAAACAAAAAACAAAGCCAGATCTGCAAGAGGATGGTGAAGATCCGAGGTGAAAGAACGGAGGTGATGGTGGCGATGGTGGATCTGCAAAAGGGGGAAAAATCAAGGTTTTTTTTTCTGTTTTCTCCTTTTTTTTTTCTTTTTTTTTTTCTTTTGGTTTGGCTGCTTTGGCAGCCGCACCGTGCCTCCTCCTTTTCCCTTTAAAAGAGAAAAAGAGAGGAAACTAGGTTTTGTTAAATTTGGGTTTGATGGGCTGCTCAATATTGGGCTGGGCTTATAAGTTTGTTTTAGTAAATTTTATCCTCAGCTTTTTAATTTTTTCAATTGAGTCCCTTTCTTGTTTTTTTTCTTCAACTTCTCCCCCAAATTTTTCATAAAATTTTTTATAACGATAAATCCGAAACGGTACGCAAAAAATTTCGATATCTGGTACGTACCGTTCCAGTAACAAAATCGGCACGCATGCCGGTACGATATTGACTACTTTGAGTGTAACTACACCAGTCAATTAAAAGGCAAAAATAAATGATAAGATAATATGAAAATTTAATAGAAAAACACTCTCAAAAAATATTGAGAAAAAAAAAAGGATAAACTTTAAAAGACATTTTATTATGTAATAAAATTATATAGAGTACACACTTAAATATTTCACTCAGTGTTTTCTTATTCTCTTAAAATATATGATTGTAATAATAAATAGCCACAATTTTATCACCCTATGGACCCTCTCTATGAAGTACACACACGTCCAAGCTTTGTGCCAGGCCCCTTTAGCTCTCATTTAGAAGCTTACTTCACTTGTTGCACATTCCAACTTTGCTGTAGGTGTAGCTATAGTTAGGGCATTGAAATGAGGGATTTTCACTATGTTCACACGTGGGGCTGGATTTTTCTATATTGTACTACGATATCCACCACTTGCCCCAATCGATCTTGAACAGATTACTCCACTTTTTGTATCATTGCTCCTCCTCATCACTCGTCGGAATATCCACTTATTGTATGTACTACGTTTGTCGTGGTCGACTCAACTTCCACTGTCGGTTGTCTTCGCGTGATCACTAATTCTTCATTGCTTTCATTTTCATCCAAGCTTGCCT